AACGTAAATCCATTCCTAATTCCGTCTCTAATGTCATTAGTAACAGAAAAAGTAGATTTAGAGACAAAAAAATTTTGTTGCAAAAATGATTTTTCTTGTAGTGACCAGCATTATCTACATCTAAAATTGATGGAAAAATAAAATTTATGTTTTTTTGTTTTTATTTAAATATATTAAATATTATTTTGAAATTTAATTACATTTTTTTATTAGTATAATAATTTGTAGAATATTTGTATTCATTTTTTTAAAATTTTGATTGAAATGAGAGAGCTATATATATATATATATGTACAATGTGCATATTTTCTTACTAATAAATGTCAACTTAAAACAATAAAATTTTTATAATACAAGTATTCACATATATATTCATGTTAAAACTAGTTAAAAAGAAATGCACTATAATGTTTTAAAAATACACAATCCCAATAAATATTACTAAAAAACTACAATATACAATATACATATATAACAATAAAAACTATTAAAACTAACAAAATATCATCCTTTGTAGTAATTTCATAATTCATCGTATCTTACAAAAAATCAAAAAATCAAAAATAAATCCAAACAACATATACTAAACAAAAACGTTTTATTAAGTATTTGTCAATATGATAGAATATATATTAAAGATGCCTTTGTAAAATTGACGTCGTCATGCGAGACAGATATAATATCATTGAATCAGAGTTAGAAGTAACATCAATAGGTAAATAATATATGTTAGTATGACAAGAATTTTTTAACATCGTAAAAAAAATTATGTTATACTCCCTCTATCATCCAATTGTGTGCTCATTTGACCGGACACGGGTTTTAAGAAAAATATGTAAAAATAGAATTTTATTTTTTTTTGTAAAAAAAAATATTATTTTTTTACTAAAAAAGGAAACGAGAATAAATTTGAATGACAACCAAAAAAAAAAGTGAGAATAAATTTGAACGACGGAAGAAATATTATTTAAAAACAATTATATATATATATATGTTTAGCTAAATTTAAAAAAAAATTATACAATAAATTAAAAATCTTGGTTTCCAAGAGAGGAATCAACAGAATAGACAAATTTAGTGATGAGAAGGTTTGTACCTTAAGATTCAATTTCAATGATTGTTCCTTGTGCGTGTTTCCTCTAGAAGCTCATCATTGAAACTACAAAATTAATTAGACTCCACAATTTAATTCAAATCATATATATATATATATATATATTTATTTTAAGTCAATAATTTTTTTTTTTATATTAAAAAGTATATATTGCAATATTAATAGTCAAAGCACACATCATTAATTTTGTGTCACTTCTTCTAAGTTAAGAATGGGGCTTTTCAAATATAAAGTTTTTTTTTTTTTTTTTTTCCACGTATGTCACTTATAAACTGCTTATGTTATGAGATGTAAAATGTTTTATACATTATATATATATATAGCGGTGTTTACGATGCCTCATGACAATACTTTACTAGTAATTATATATACTAAATAATATATTAAATATAATTCTATAATATATATATATATATAAAATAATACTGACAATACATACAAATATCACTACAATAAAATATTCATATTTCTAGGAAATTAGCTATAGAAATTTTCAAAAATATATGTAGCTAATGAATTTGTTATAAAATTAACTATGAAAATGCATTTAGTGACTATAAGCAGTGTAGCTAATTTTACCATATAAATTGTCATGACAATTTGAAATATAATTTGCTACAACTTATTTGACACCCTATTTGCCACAACAATAACTTTGATATATATTTTGCCACATCTAAATAATAATTATTTTACAAAAATTTTCCACATAATAAATATATATTAAGCATTCAAATTAATATATAAAATATATATCAATATGAGAATACTCATAGTCTAAGAAAATATATTATATTAATAAGATGGACCTTTTGTTTTATGTTTTTTGGAACCCATTAATAACATATCAAGCTGTGTGCAAATCAAAACATAACACTTTGGTCACCAAGTAAATTAAACTAAAAGGTAATTAGGTTTTGACAATAATAAAGTTTATATATATATATATATATTTGAATTAAAGCAACACTTTATTTTGTTAGTTTTGACTTCTAATTATTAGAATAAGAACAAATAATGTCACAAAAATTTTAAGAAATCAAGTTAAGACATTTTTATATTTTAGTGTCATTATTCATTCAATTGACTTTATTCCATGAGAAAGATATTTACATCTAAAACAACCCTAAAGTCAAAGTTTATACTAACCAAACAAAAGTATATACTCCAAATATATATATATATATATATAATAAAAATTATATATCATTAGGGGGGGTTGGGTGTCTCAACCCTACACCCACCACACCCAAGTCTTATCTTTAAAGTTTAATTTATTCCATTGTCCACAAAAAGGCATCCAAGTCAAGTATCCACCAAAGCAAGAATATTTTCTTCATTTATTTTATTTAATAATAGTAATAATAAGTATTACTCCATTATTCTTACATGCACTCAATATCTATCTATAATTTGTCCATTGCATGAAATTGTAAAGACAAAAGAAAGATACCATTTTTCATTTAATATTTGTGGTATGGAGTAGACACTTCAAGGTATATTTTTAATAGCCATTAAATCTCTTTTTATTTCAAATATTTTATTGGTATCTTAATTTTATGGCACATCATATGTGTTTCTTTTGGGTAAGTTTGAAATTAAGGTTAAGTTTGGATTGGATTTGAATTTTAGGTTATGTTTGAAATTTGACATTTCTTTTGATTTGTAATTTAGTTTGAATTTGAGAGTTTTGAAGGGTATTTATTTGATAGATAAAAAATATGTATTAAATTAAATTTATGAAATTAATAATTGTGTAATTTGAGTATTAATTTGTGTTAATTAAATATTTATATTTTTTTATTTAATTGTATTATATTATATTTATTTTATGAAATTATTATTATTAGAAAAATAAAAAATATATTTTTCTATAGTTTTGCACGGCTGTGCAAAACTGTTAATAAATTGTACTCCCTTTGATAGTCCCGGGTTACATTTACCTTTGGTACTTAACATTAAAAATATTTTTATATTTATATAATTTTTTGTACAAACATCTTTTTATTAGAATGATAAGACACTGATAGAAGTATTTTTGTCATTATTTTTATTTGCACTATATTTTGATATAATAATTAATATTCAAATATCAACGCGCAAAAATAAATATGGCCCTTTGAACCAGACCAATGTAATATTTTGTAAAATTAAAAAAAAAAAAAAAAATGTCAACTTTTGCAGCCTATGTCTGCCATCAGAGTAATTGTCTCTCAAAACATAAATCTTGCGTCTAAACTCAAACCTACTGTGCTCACACAATAATTTTCCTTTAAATTTGGCCAAAACAAGCATACCCTAATTTTTATGTATAAAGTTTTTTCTTTTTTTATATAATTATTTTCTAGATTCAATTTATAAAATATTTTAAATAAAAGTTGAAGGTAAAATGACAAAAAAAAAAAATACTATTAATTTATACCAACTAAAATATTGTCTTAAAGTAAAACAAATTAACAAATTGGAACATAACTAGAATAAGTTTATAATTGTAATGTTGCATAACAACAAAATTCTATTGAATCGTAAAATAAATCGCTTCATCTTTTAAAATAATGAGAAGATTCTATAAATTATCTACAATAATAATATATAAACCATTTACCAAATTATTTAGAAATACATGCTTTGCAAATATTTTATTAGTAGTCTATTTGTTTACTTTGTTTTTTTTGGAAGAATGTATATTTTATGGTAGGTATAAAAATAATATTACTAAAATAAAAAATAATATTACTAAAATAAAAAATAATATTTTGTATTAAATTAATAATTTTTTGTGACATAATAAAATATATATACTCCCCCGGTCCCATATAATTATGCTATATATATATATATAAATTTTGTCGGCTAAACATATAAATGATATATTTATATTAAGCAATTTTATCCACTCATAATTTTATTGCCCTATTTTAATAAATAATAACTAATTTGTCACTATTTTTTCTACTCACCTTATAACTTTATTATTAACATGTTAATAAATTTCTCACTCTATCTATTTTTATCTACTATACTTTTATATTAAAATACTATTAGTTTTTAGTTTTTGTGCCCGGGTATTTTAGCATAATTAGCCTAGATGGATAGAGTATTATATGTATTGCGTTAATATGCATATATATTGTATTTTTTTTAATAATATTTATAGAGAATTGTTAGTATCTAAAAATACTAAATAAATCAACTCAATAGGTTTTGTTTCCAGTTGTGTATATATAGTGGTCTGATTTGTTAGTTTCTATTAAAATAAAGGGTAATTGAACTATTTCACAAACTCTAAGTTATAGAGCTAAAGTGTGAAAAAAAAAAAAAAAAAAAAATCAATTACAAAATTAAAATAATCAGTTTAATAATAATAATAATAATAATGATAATACTCCTCCGTTCCATAACAAAGTATCCATTTTTTTATTTTTTCATAATCTTATTAACCATTTTTTTTCATTTTTAGAGGTGAATAGATCCCAAATATTTTAAATAGATGACACATTAGTCATTACTCATAATTATAGATGACAACGTGTACGTGTATAGAACAAATTTAAATAGATATAGATATGGTTAATAAGATTATTATTATTATTTACTTGCAAAATACTAATAATTGGGTGTGGTGTGCTATCCAGGTAATCCACTTCTCGACTCTTCACCCATCCTTAATCCCCCCAACAGCCACCACGTGGCCGGTTCTCATTGGCCCAGGTAACCACTCCGGCGGCCTACCCCTTTATTGGTCCCCAGCCATCAATATTTCGCCACGTTTTAAGTTCCCGTTAAAGCAACCTTCAACTCACCAGTTCCCAACTAATTCGGACAACATACGTAACACTTGTATATTGCCCAAAATCCCACATTTATTCCCTTCCTCACACACATTATACATACATATACATATATATATATTACAGTACACATAACACAACAACAAAGGCCACAATCAAGAATTGCTTCAACTCAATTCAATAAAACAACAACACATGGAGTGGACAAGAGGCCACATCATAGGCCACGGAGCCACCGCCGCCGTCTCCGCCGCCACGTCCCGGAAGTCCGGCGAGATCATCGCCGTGAAGTCGGCGGAGCTGCAGCGGTCCAAGGCCCTTCAAAGGGAGGCTGAAATTCTCTCCGGGTTGGATTGCCCGTACATAATCGGCTTCAGGGGCTGCGACGTAACACGGGAGGGCGACACGGCCGTGTTCAACCTCAAAATGGAGTACGCCCCAGGCGGCACGGTGGCCGACGCCGCGCGGCGGCTCGGCGGCGTCGACGGGCCCACTGCCAGGCGGTACACGTGTCAGATCGTGAAGGGGCTCAAGTATCTGCATTCCAAGGGGATCGTGCATTGCGACCTTAAGGGGAGTAATATTTTGATATGCGACGGCGGCGTCAAAATCGCTGACTTGGGCTGCGCCAAGGCGGCAGGTGCGGCGGCTATCGGCGGCACTCCCATGTACATGGCGCCCGAAGTTGCCAGAGGGGAGGACCAGGGCTTCCCGTCGGATGTCTGGTCTTTGGGGTGCACCTTAATCCAGATGTCCACCGGGAAGTCTCCTTGGCCGGACGCCGCCGCCGCCACCGTCCGCCGGATTGCCTTCTCCGGCGAGGTGCCCGAGTTTCCGGAAGCTGTATCGGAATTATGTAAGGACTTTTTGAGCAAGTGTTTGAGAGTTGTTCCGGCCGAGAGATGGACGGCGACAGAGCTTCTCCGGCATCCTTTTCTGGAGGAATCGGAATCTCCGACGAGTGTTCTGGATCGGAGCGTTTGGGCCGGCGGAGAATCTTGTGAAGATTCCGTTCACATGGATGGGGAGTATTCCTCGGAATCTGCGATGCAGAGGATGAAAGAATTGGGGAAAATTTCAGGGGATGAGAAGTGGGAATGGGGACACAGTTGGATTACTGTTAGAGAAGTGAATTTTGTAAATAGTGAAAAATGGACACAGGAATTATTGACATTGGATAATTTTCAATTTTTGTGAAAATTAATTCTTACTTGTACATAATCATTTTATTGAATTGTCATTTTTTTGGAGAATTATTTTTGAATTAGTGCTCAAATTGTTATATATATATATATGTGTGTGTGTGTGTACAGGTGAGTTAATTAGTAAGGGTGGAGTTTTATTATTCTAGAAAAAAAAAATTAAAACTTCAAATATCCTTCAAAATATATTTAAACGGAAACAATCTTGAGTTGATAGTTCTAATAATTTTAAAATAAATTTTGAATTATGCATGCTTATACTTTTTTTTTCAATGACGTGATATCGTAATAATCTAAATAAATAAATATTTATTATTAAAATATTATCAGTTAAAATATTTTCGTTGCATATAATTGGTGACTGAAAGTACCAACTATTGTCATTCTTTGTATTATTAAAAAAATAGTCTCCTATCCAATCAAAAAAAATAAATAAAATTCCCTATAGTAAATTAAAGAAGTCAAATATAGTAACTTTATATACATACATGTACATATATTGAATCAGAAAAATAGGAAGTTGTTTTGGGTGATATTTACTTTGTGATGTTGCTGAAATTCGTGGATGACGACCTAATAAAAATTAAGGGTACGTTTGGTAATTAGTTGATAATTTTTAGATGTTAGCTGTTAGCTGATTCAATTAACGAGTTTGACTAGCTGATCTAATTAGCGGTTTGTATTAGAGTGTTTGGTAATACAACTGTTTGACATTAGCTGTTTATACATAAAATGACGATTAAAGACATTGATATATTATTTTTTAAAATATTTAGAAGGATGTATTCAATTGAGATTTTAATGAATTCTTTTGGATTTTAAAAAGTATATAGATTTATGTGGATTTAGAAAATCCACAGAGTCTACGTTGAGTTTGATGGATTTTAGTAATTGATTTAGATGGATTTCTACGGATTTGATTGACTTCTTTATGGATTTATATGGATTTTGTAGGATTGTAAAATAATTTCTTTTTATGAATATATATTAATTATATAAATTTATATCAAACAACAAATTTTATAAATATAATAAATAATTATTAATAAAATAATATTTAATATTAATAAATAATATATAAGTATTAATAATGTAGAAGTATTGTAACATATGTAATACTACTATATTCTACATTATTAATTTTAATTTTATAATTTTAGTATTATATTATCATTCAATATATCGAATTTGTTTTATATTTCTTTATTAGTTATTATTATTATTTATATAACCTTTTTAAATAAAAAGTAAATACGTATATAAATAAAATAAAAAATATAATTTTTGATTTTTGAAAAAAATATTAAAATAAATAAATAATTATAAATTAACGGTTCAACAAAAAAATATTTAAATATTTATTTTACCGTTATCGTAATGGTAATATAGTGTATTCCATAATTGAAAAGAAAAACGACAGTAATACATATTTATTGTGATAATAATATTTTTAAATTATATTTATAATATAAAATTATATTTTTAGAAAAGATTCATAATAATTTGCTAATATATTTTAGTTTTAAATTATTATTTTTATTAAAAATTATAATAATAGTAATAAATATTATCATATTATTGATCACATATAAAACAACAACAACAACAGCAACAACAACAACAACAATAATAATAATAATAATAATAATAATAATATTAACAATAATGATAATAATAATTTTAAAAATCCATTAAAATCTCTGAAGATTATGAGAGATTCTTTGCTATATAAAATTTTCACAATTTTCCATTAAAATCCATAGACTTTTAAAGTCTATGGATTGTTGAATATCTCAAGATTTTAAAAGACTTTTGAAAAAATTTATATTGAATACCTCAAGATTTTAAAAGTTTATGTACCTGAAGATTTTAAAAGACTGATTGAATACCTTAGGATTTTAAAAGTCTATATAGCTGAAGATTTTAAAAGACTAATTGAATACCTGATTTTAAAAAACTTTTAAAAGTCTTAATTGAATACACCCAAATTTTGAAAATCCAACAAAATCTATATTGAATACACCCCCCTTAATTTTGTTCATTTTGGTTTGAACACTACAAAAAAGTAATATATTTATAACGGAATTCCGTCCCTAAAGTTCACGTAGCTAACGTAATTTTATTCCTATTTCCGTCTCTAATGTCATTAGTAACGGAAAAAATAGATTTAGAGACAAAAAAATTTTGTTACAAAAATGATTTTTTCTTGTAGTGGAAATTTATTAGAATTTTTGTTATTAATTATTGAAAATTATAAAAATATTATAAAATATTTATTTTTATTTTTATTATTTAGATTTGAGAAAATTATTTTTACTAAAAAATAATAATTTTTTTTATTGAAATTATGTAAAATATAAAATAATAAATCTTTTGCATATATATTTTTATTATGATAATTATTATTTTAATATATATAAATAAATTTATAACGTTTGTTTTTTCTATTAGATTTAGTTTTAAAAATTTATATATTTTACAAATAAAATAATTTATATGTAATAATTAATAATAGTAATTATTTTAAATTTACAAAAATAAAAATATAATTTAATAAATTAAATATATTAAAAATAGTTAATAAATACTGCTATAAAAATATTTATATGTATGAAATAAATAATTAAGTTTTAAGGGTAAATAAAGAATAATCAAAATTAAAATGAAAAAACTCTTTAAAAATGTTGGATAGATGAGGTTTTCAGAAATTAGCTTTTTAGGTCCAAAAAGCTCTTTCAAAAAGTCAATTTACCAAAAATCTATATTAATTTTTTGATTGGTCAAACAGCTAAAAGGTGTCCAATAAGTTAAAAGCTCTTCAAAAAGTTGTTTCCCAAACACCCATTAAGTATGTCGAAATCGACAATTATTGGGTTCCCCGGCCTACTCAAGGAAGTATCCTGGCTAAGTCTTGCGATCAAAATGAATCGATGGGAGAATAATATAGACGTTGCTATGCCGAATTATGAAGAAGACGTAGAAGAAGAAATGATTATGGAAGAAATTGAATTAAATTGGATAACTAATGCTAGTAAGAGAATAAGAAAAAAAAATAATGCAGAGAAAGGAAATAAATCAAATAAATTGCAAGAATGAGATTTGAATTATGAAACTGTGTTGATCGGATGTGTTGGATGTTCTGTATCCTTAAAATTGCTCATTTTAAATCCACATTACTTTCTCCTAAAGTTTGCCCACTTAAATTAAGGAACCACTCCTTCCACTACTCCCACTCTTCATCCGACAGCACACGTGCACAAGTACTCCTCTCGGCTGGTTTTGTTCATTGGGCTCTCATCCGGGCCAATTTTGTGGAGTTTTGGGCCTATTTCTAGTTCATTCGGGCTGGGCTTAAAATTGTTTTTGTAGGATAACAAATGTCCCCCACAAAAATATTTTGGACAAAAGTGTCTTCTGCAGTCCAAAATTATTTTAGTTGATGTGTGAATATTTTCCAAACAAACAATGCAGTATGCGTGCCTCGGAGAAGTTTTTTCACTAATTTCTACGTCACCGTCATCCTTCTTTCCTTCTCCGGTAGAAGAAATGACCATTACCTTCGTTCCTAGTGAGAGAAAATCCTCTCATCTTCTCAAATGGCCTCATCCGTAGTGCCTCGACTGACCTGCTGGATCCAGAGGTCCGATCATCTGTGTTGTTCTAGTTCGCTGGTCGGAATCATATGTTTTGGGCAACGGCGGAAGCTGTTCTGGGCTTCTGTTCAGTCGGAAGTTCTTCGAGATCCCAAAATGATGGATAAAAAATTTTTAGATGCTTCCCGTTAATGAACGTCTTTAACTCTTTCCGTTCGGGTTCCATCAACTTGTCGCCACCTTTTTGGACAGTTGGATTCGGTTTATCTGCCGTTTGATGATTTTTCCGAGATGATATAAGGGCCCTCCCAATTAGGCGTCCACTTTATGATCTTCAGGTCTTTGGGACCTTCCGGGAGTATGGTTTTCCAAACCAAGTCTCCCTCTTGGAAAGACCGTGTCGTTAGAAAGTTCGTTCAACCTTCTTCTTTTGAAGCCAGAGGTGTTCAAGGGTCTGAAGTCGTTCCTCCGGGAGGCTATCTAGCTCCGGTAGTAGTGCCCGATCTTGTTCGTCCATCGAAATCTCGTTTTGCTTCAAAATACTTAGTGAAGGTACCGTGATCTTAAGGGGTAGGACCGCGTCTTGTCCGTATGTCACCGGTCGCAGTGGATTTTGCGTTCCAATAAGCCCACAAGGCTTCCTCCAAAGTATTATTCCATACCCTTGGATTATCCTCCAGCATTTTTTTTTTATGATGGCAATTAGCGTCTTGTTCGTAGCCTCGGCTTGTCCGTTGGCTTGCAGATAATACGGAGAAGAGTGTACCAATTGGATGCCGTATTGTGCTACAAAGGACTTAAGCTCTGCGCTAGTGAATACCGTCCCTTGGTCAGTTGTGATGGTTTTGCTTATGCCAAATCGATGAATAATATTATTCTTGATGAATCGAATAACATGATTCAACCATACCTAGACTAACAGGACAACCTCTACCTATTTCGTGGAGTAATCAGTTGTCACGAGGATGAATGCATGTCCTTTTGATGATGGTGGATGGATTTCACCGATGACGTCCATCGCCCATCCTCGGAAGGGTCACGGTTTGAGAATTGAATGAAGTTCCTCGGCTGGGGAACGTTGCAAAGGGCAGTGGCGTTGACATGAAGGACATCCTCGGGCATAATCGATGCAATCTTGCGAGATCCGGTGCCAGAAGTATCCATACCGGAGGATAGTCCATCTTATAATCAGGCCAGCCCTATGCGCGCCTCCGATTCCTTGGTGTACTTCCGCCATTACTTTCATCTCTTCATCTCACCCCAAACATCGTGCCAGGGTTCCATCAGCCCGTCGTCGATAAAGTTCACCGTCAATGCACATGTATTTCAACAGTTGTTTCCGCATGCACCTCGAACCAGCTTTTCTGAAGTCTGCCATTGCCTCAAGGAGCTCTGTGCGCCAATCCACAACCCTGCAGGTAGTTAGGCATTCGAATTTAGTGGCCGATTCCTCCGTTC